AAAAACCCATAAAACAATAGATGAGGGAGCTCAGGCCACGCTAAACCAACTGAAAAAGAGTAGGAGAAAAATATTGGCAAACAACAAATAAAGAGGTTAAATTAGAGAAAAGCGTCAGAGAAAAGAAGAGGACGATGATCAAATAAGCCAAATAGAAAAATAAAAAAACTTTAAAAAACCTTAAACAGAGAAGCCCTGGAATACAATGCTGAAACCACAGAACAATAAGCACCAAGAGATGATAGAGACATGCAATAAAGGATTTTCTCAGCACTAATAGTTATATATTTCAGTATGAGAGAGATGACCATTTTCTCCCCCTTTTTAGCATGTCATATGAGAGAGATGACCGTATTCTCCCCCTTTCAGCATGTTATATGTACTTAGATGTACAAATAAGTACTCAACATACCACATTTTATTTTTGTTAGAAGATGCTACCCAAAACTAGAAAATACATGAAAAAATTAACAAATAAACAATATGCAAAAAACAGGAAAAAAGAGAAAAGGACAACCACCCAAGGTTCAAAGTATTAACACGATATGTCTGATATGGGGTGTATTGTATCGCATCTCTAGGCTCTAACACACCTGTTTATAGGTGTTTTTACAGATTTTTTTTATTGATAATATATATATGTATATATTTAAAACTGAAATTTGAAAAAAAAAAAAATTAAAATATAAGGCGTGTTAGTTAAAGTATCAATACACCTCTGCTGATACTTTGAACCATAGAACCACAAGTGGGGACTAGGTTGTATGGTTACAGTGGAACAAGGGATGGACACGAGTATATTGAGCATACTAGATAGTAGGACATGGACTGGGCTATGGTGAAGAATTGAGATTTTTGAGTGCAAATATATAGTGGGTATTTGTCCTTTTGTGTCAAGCTATTGAACTTCAATTGCCACTAGCAAACTTGATGTCGAACTAGTAACAAGGTCTCCTGAATCCAAGGTCGAATGTGGGACCTTTGTGTTTGATATGAAGGTTAGAGTTATGCATTTGGTTGCATTCGGTAGGGTTTTTCGCGTGACAGGGAAGGGAAGAAGGAGAGAGGGAGATAGGAAGAGAGGAGGAGAAGGAGTTGGACGAAGAAGAAAAAGAGAGAGAGAGAGAGCCTTTGTTTTTGTTCTGATGGAATTAAATCTTTTATGTTACATGAAAATTGTTTTTGTTTTGAAGAACAAAACCCCGGAAAACTCGAAATCAACTGAGAAACCAACTCCTAAATGATCCATAAGACAAATAAACATGAATAACTATTTACACTAGCTCCTAACAGAAAACTAGAGACAAGCGGATTGGCTAAAACAAGTAGAAATTATAAACCCAACAATAAGCAATAAATAAAACTAAACAATGGAACCCAAGATTGATAAGATGAATGAGTTATTGAAGTACCTTTGCAACGAATGACCTGACCAGCAGTCCTCGACATTCTTCTTTCTTGTTATGTTACTAATTCAAAGAAAATAATTCTCACTAGAGTTGGATTTTAGAAGGGTTGAGTGATAGACGGTGTTTATGGGGCAATTAAGGAGGTATATTTAATTTATAGGGAGGAGAAAACGCCTTTCTTCTTCCAAACAAAATCACTGTCTGGTGCGTTACAAAATAGTAAATTACTATAGTGTCGACGCAAAATGATTTTAGTTCCTTGTTCTTGGGATCTCCTGTGCTTTCCATAATTCCATGGGAATGAGTAAAAATATTGAATTTTTGCTTCTCAAAAAGAAAAAAAGAAAAAAACTGTTGAATTTATGTGGTGATCTTGGGACAATCTCGGCCATCCAATCCATTTTAGGGTCCAAAAGTTTGACTCACCATTCACCATTAGAGTTCTTCCCACGTTTGGTGAGGGGTGATGCTGATGCAAAATCCGATCATATGCAGAGTTCTTCCACGTTTGACTCACACCATTCACCAATATTAGAGTCAGTCTGATAAACACAAACGCAGCTTTAGGATAAATTGGTAGGCCCACAATTCAATGTTATAATTTTTGCTTTTTTCTTGATAAACCATTTGAGTATCAAATTCAGTTAATCCGATCCCATAAGATTTTTTTTGAAGAAATCGTAAGAATTTGTTTATTTTTTTGGTAAAATTGTAGCTCGACCCTACAAGTCACCCAAACAAATAGAAGATAAATCTTTGGGAATGTTTGCGCCACAAAGGGAAATAACATTTGGATGTGATGGAGCCTCCTTAGCTAACCAATCAGCAGCTTGATTCGCTTATCTGAATCATGACAATATTCCTCTTCGCTTGAAAGATGCTCCTTTGTCTTCTTGCATTTCTCCAGAATTGTCTTTAGTCTCTAAGGCTCCTTGGTCTTCTTGTTCAGGCACGAGTTCACTAGCAGCAAGTCACCTTCGATGATGATGGGAGAATCCCTGCACTTCAAAGCTAGATTGTGGGCTTCCCAGGCATCCCATGCCTCTGCAACATTTATGGAGGTAACATCAATACAATACGCTTTCACTTCCAGAATACTTCCAATAGAATTTTTCACGATACATGCAATGGCACATAGGGGTGTTGATTGGATTGGATTTGGTCCAATCTGATCCCGTCCAATGTGAGTCCATTACAAATGGATCAGGTCCAATCCAATGAATAATTTGGACCATTTTGGACCGGTCCAATTTAATGTTTGGACCATCCGATTTGTTCAATACAATAAGCTTTCACTTCCAGAATACTTCCAATAGAATTTCTCACAATACATGCAATGGCACATAGGGGTGTTGATTGGATTGGATTTGGTCCAATCTGATCTAGTCCAATGTGAGTCCATTACAAATGGACCAGGTCCAATCCAATGAATAATTTAGATCATTTTGGACTGGTCCAATTTAATGTTTGGACCATCCGATTTGTTCAAATTCATTTTAATTTAGATTGGTTTCAACTCAAACCTGGTCCATTGACACCACCTATATTCTTATCTTATATCAATAGACCAGATATTGGCTTAATCCAACCAAATCCAATATGAATTTATTACAGACAGACCAGGTCCAGTCCAATTTAATAAATACTTTGGACCGGATTGGTCCAATCCACCGTCTTTTTGGTCCATCCAAAACCGGTCTATTGACACCCTGGCACAAGAGCCATCACTGTTTGTTGATGCATTGAAATTGATTTTGATCGTCTCTCCCCTAGGACACTTGCAAAAAAATAGGTTTACAAGACTTTTTGCATGCCCTAACCCCTTCCACAATGGGGTTATTTTGACTATCCATAAGCAGACAAAGAGCACGCTCAATGATGGTAGCAGGATTTGTGCTTAGATTTTTAAAAATTTTATCATTTCTATTCTTTCACAAATACCATAGAATATAAGCACTTTTCTCTCTTGATTGGTCTTTGTTAAAACCTAACCCATCTAAGCTAGCCCACCACAAAATAATATCCACTGTCATTTGTTGGCCCTTTCACCGAATTTGCAATGGTAAGCCACACTTGGGTAGCAAAAGGACAAGTCCTTCAAAATATGATCCACACCCTCCTCCCCATACAAATTACAAGCAATATCAGAATGGATGCCCCTATCTCTTAAAAATATTTTTGTGGGGAGCCTATCATTAAGAAGAAGGAATAAGAAGATTTTTATTTTGGGAGGAAGCTTAAGGTTCCACACCTTACATCCGAGTCTATCTACGAGCCTAGAACCTCCATTGGCAATAAATGCCTCCTTATAGGCCGAAGGAATAACTATAGTTCTTATCTTATGCTAGCATGAAGTTGGAACAAAGGAGCAGATCTTATCCTCCCTCCAAACCTTTCTATCAAAATCAATGACATAAGCAACCTGAAGCTCCTCTTCTTGCTCCAGCAATACATCCCATTCCTCTTTTAATGAGGTATCTCGCTTGAAGGATACCATGCCAGGCCCAAGAGATGCCTTGCTTTTCTTTGGCATTCCAGAAATCATCTTGTTTTTAAATATTTACTGCTTACCACTCTAACCCAAAAGTTATTCTTCTGATTCAGAAGGATATTCCACCATAACTTGGCTAAATTTTCCTCATTAGCCCACTTCAAATTTCTGATACCTAAACCACCTCACCCCTTGGGGGCACAAATCCTCTTCCACCCTAAAAGGCAGAGGGGTTTTTTCTCATCATTTTTCTTTCCCCAAATGAAGGCTCTACTCTTTTTATTGATTTCTTTTATGGCATTATTGGGAACTTTGGAAGAACTCATAATGAATTGAGAGATCATATTGGAAACAGAATTTACTAAGGTCACCTTACCCGCCAAGGAAAGGGTATTTTTCTTCCAATTTGATAATTTATTCACTACCCTCTCTTTCAAGTTATTGAAAGTAGCTTTTGTGACTCTCCCTTCAATAATAGGGTTACCCAGGTAGATATCTGCTTTTGTTTCAATGGGGATCCTAAGCATCTAGAACCCGTAAAAGTGTTCCACCTTTTCCATCAAACCAAATACACATTTCAATGTAACAGATTTTTCTGGTAAGAAAATGGAAGATGATACACAGCCGCGGTGGGATCATTTGCACTGACAATAGTATCATTTCAACTATCAAAAAAAGGGAATCATTTACACTGTCAAATTTCTAATTTTCTTTTGTCAGGGATTTTTATACCGTTTACTTCTTTTTTGCATTTAAATCCTATTGGCTTGGGGATTTTAGTTAGGATTTTTATCTATTTCTGAGCAATTTACTAATCCAGATAAGGCTGGAATCGACCAGTGACTAATGTAGTCTGTAAGTCTATGAACTATGATTGTTATGGGATCATAAATTCATAATAGCACTGCCTTAACACTGAGTGGAAGTTTGGGTTTCTCTTGGAGGGTTTATCCCGAGTTCTCCTTCAACATTCAAGGTGGTTTATTTTTGGCGAGAGACTAATCATTTTCCTTCTTTCCTTGAAACTTATTGTTTTAATTTGTTAGAAATTGGGTAACTTATTCTCTTAGACCAGCAATCCAGAATATGCAGAATAAAAGTTCTAGATTTGATGGGGCAGGTCAAGATTTTATTTCTCTACTCTCATTATATACTCCCAACAGGAGTTAACATAAACTGAACGACTGATATTCACATATCAGAAAGAAAACAAGACATTTTACATTTCCTTCTCCATGCAAATACAAAATTAAATAAACATAAGAAAAGAAAACATGACTCTTTGTTCACAAAATATGGCATAAACATCTATCAGAAACACCCAAAACCCATAATGTAATTTTAGTATCACTTGGACTCGAAATCACTTGATCTGAAAGCAAACATCCATCCCATTCTAGCCTTCCATGTGGATGATGCATCGGAGGCCTTCGCCTTTCAGCATGTACTCAAAAGCCTTGTTTATCTCTGAGAATGGAACTTGGTGGGTGATGAACTTCTCAAGCTCAAGTTCCTGCACATGAACACAAGTTCTCAAGTGATAAGCCTCAATATATCCTCAAGTTCTACAAATACATTTATGAACCAATTATAAGATCCCTAGGCACAGAATTGTCAAAGAAAGAGGTGCATGAGTGCTGCAAATTTACCTTGTTCATGTATTTTTCCACAACAGAGGGAAGATCAGAGCGAGGCTTATAGTTGCCAAAGAAGGTACCCTTGAGAGTTCTTTCATTCAATAGATTCATGGGGTGGGTTTTGAACACAGCATCTTTGTGAGGTACACCCACAAGAACAGCAACACCCCAACCCTGAAAGAAATTATTCAAGTTTTTGATTGAGTTCCAACAAATGAATTTAGAGACTTTAGTTTGTTCTCAGGCTTAGCCAAGCCATTATAAAGGGGAACAGATCCAGAAGCAGTTCACAAATTCAGGGAGAGAAATGAAGTGAAGATGGCAGCTTACATCATGAACACATTCAAAAGCAGAGATCATGGCATCGATGTTTCCCGTACATTCGATACTCCGGTCCACCCCTCCATCAGTTATTTCAGCAATCACCTAAATAAAGCAGTCATCAGGGGTATTAAGTCTATCTGGGGGATCAGACAGGGCTAATAATCACTGAAGTTTAAATTTTTGGGAAGCAAATGTCTCAGAAACAAACCTCTTGAACTGGTTTTTTGTGATCTTTCGGGTTCACAAACTCGGTACACCCAAACTTCCTAGCTGTTAAGATGAAACAGAAGAAATTCATTTAATGTTTTGATCTTCAACTGTAAAATCTATAATTCTTAGAGCTCAAGTATGAAATTGGATCATTTACCTTCCTCAAACCTCTTAGAGTTCACATCAACACCAATGATTCTGGATGCCCCAGCAATCCTGGCTCCTTCTGCAGCCTATTCACATAGCATCACCATAATTCAATTCTTTCACTCATCAGAGAAATTAGAAGAACAAGCCCACAAGAACAATGTGCTCTGTGACAATGAGATATAAACTTACAGCAAGTCCTACAGCTCCCAATCCGAAGACAGCCACAGTTGAACCCTTTGGAGGTTTTGCAACATTCAAGGTGGCACCAAGACCTTCAAAAGAATATCAAAGCTCTTTAATCATAGTTGCATATGTAATTCAATCTTATCTATAAGTTGGTTTCGATTGAAATTTGTCTCACCTGTGGAGATACCGCAGCTGAGAACACAAACTTTGTCCAGAGGGGCCAAAGGATTGATCTTGGCAAGACAGCCGACATGAACGACTGTGTATTCACTGAAAGTGGAGGTGCCCACAAAATGGTAAATGGGCTTTCCATTAATGGAGAACCTGGACTGGCCATCATTAAGCATCACACCCCTGTCCGTGTTTATCCTGAGGAGGTTGCACATGTTGCTCTCTTCGGACTTACAGTGAGAGCATTCTTTGCATTCTCCGGTGAACACCGGGAGGACATGGTCTCCTGGTGCAAGATCCGTCACACCCTCTCCGACGCTCTCGACAATCCTATTCAGTATTCAACATCGAGATTACAAACTGGTCAATTTAAAATTTGAAACCGAAACTGAAAACAGAAGCCTTAATCAAAATGTACATACCCTCCTGCCTCATGGCCATAGATCCGAGGAAACAGAGGATTTTGCCCCTGAAAAGTTGAGAAGACAAATATAATAAGACGACCCATTTCAATTTTGATCAATGTAACTTATAAAGCATCACCAACAGAAGTCCGACCGCAATAAAAATCTTGTCAGTCATTTGTCGTTAATATGTGAGAACATAGATCATTGAGAGCAAATGAATACTGTCTGAAAGTTTACCTTGGCTTCCCAGAAGTAGACATCGGTATGGCAGAGGGAGGTGAAGAGGATCTTCAGACGAACCTCATTTGCCTGTGGCGGTGCCACCTCCACTTCTTCAATCACTAATGGCTTCCCAGCTTCCCATGCTACCGCAGCTGCGCATTCACAGGGGAAAATAGAGTCGATTTACAATATTTATTTTATAATCACACCAAATAAAGAAAGAAGATCAACAAAAAACCAGAGTCGAGAACCCAAATCTTAAGTGACCATTGCAGGCTAAAGAGAAGAAAACTGTAAACCCGTCAAACGGATCCAACAAAATACAAACTGAGAGAGGTAACTAAAAATTAGAAGAAATACATTACCTCTGCAGCGAATAACCTGACCAGCAGTGCTCGACATTCTTCCTGATTTCTTCTTGTATCAAGGATTCGGGAACTTGAAAGAGTCTCAGTTGATTGGATTTTCGAACGCTTAGTTGTTTTTTGTGTGAGGTGGATCTCCATCTCCTTCAGAGATGTATTTATAGAAAGAGAAAACGGAGACAGTTTAAAAATTTAATATCTTCTGTTCCTGTTAACAGATAAAACTACTGCACTGCCAATGTAACGTAGATGTAGATACAGCGGCGGTGAACCCATCTACGGTTTTGTAGATTCTGGTTTCAGACTAGATTTGAATATATAAAGGTTAAAAGGAAAGTCAAAGCCATCTCATGTTTATCCACCCGCCTCATACCCGCCAAGTAAGGAGATTGGGCAATTCCGGCCGTTGATGACATGGAAGGAAATTATGCCTCTGCTGAGCTGTGAAACATCTAAATCAGATGAACGTTTTGACTTTTGACAGAGAAGATCTTCTCTGTCAGAGTCAGACCCATGCGTCATGCCCAAATGAGAATTCGCTTGTGAAGGTTGGTTCGGCTGGGGGTGAGCATGGTCGGTTCGGCTACCCTGTAGGGGTCGCCGGGTCGATTCCAGCTTTTTTTTGTTTTAACTGGAACGTACTCTGGGAATATTGGTTCTGGTCTTGGTGGTTTTGGGGTGGATGGGTCTGTTTATCCGTGGAATCTGTTATTTCTTTACTTTCTTCTTTCAAGAAAAAAAAAATGAAATATGTGCTTTAAAACTTCATTTTCAATAATGATAATATATAGTTTAAAACTCATATTAATTTTATTGACTAAATTGAGTAATTTAATATATAGATTATTATAATATATTAATATATAGTTAAAAATTTGTCATTATAATTTAAATTTTATAAATATTACCTTTTACATTATTTAATATATACAAATATTAAAATAAAAACAAATGATCAAGTCATATTTAATGGTCAAGTGAGACCATGGCTTCTGTAATCATGAGTGCTTGGGCTCAAATCTTCACATCCTTAAATTTTTTTTAGGGTTTATTTCAATGCAAATTTGGTTCCAAGGTTGGTTCCACCAAAGCCGGTTCAGGTAGGATAAACTCCTAGACCCTGGAACCGACCTGCGTGGGAGTCAGTTCTAAGAATTTGGAATCAAAGCCTACCATGTAACTGATTGGATAGGATCTATTCAAAGCCAATTCGAGGTCGATTCCATTTAGTTCCAAATAAAACCTACCCATTTGTTCACCCCTAATCTTTACCATTAAGAATACATTTGATGAAAAACTGCAACTGAGATGTTGGGGCTGAAATCATTGTGACGTTGAGGACCTGAGATGGATGCCTTCGCTTCTGTATTTGTTAATGGTCTTGAGGGAAAAGGCTATGTGTTGTACCACTTTGGACTCTGAAGCTTGCGCAATATGCGATTGAAGAGGCGTTCAATTGCCACTTCCATCCATGGACTAGTTGTTTTCATCATTTGTCTTACTCTAACTAACTACGACTCTGTGTCATTTGTTGCTTTTCTTCTTTGAATTCTAGAGTAACTTACATTTCCTTTTCTCTCCTCCCCTCATCTGCAAACAAGAATTCTTGGAGGACTGAATGGACTAAGGTTATTGTTTCATTTTGAAAATTTAAAGGGGAATAATGGGTAAAATAGTGTTTAGATGTTAATGACAATGAGGTTTTAGACAATTGTTAGAAACAGTAGGGATACTTTAAGACAATAGTTAAACAGTAAGGGTAGAGTTAGTCAATTAGCTAAACAATAAGGGTAGTTTAAGAAATTTGCCCTTAATAAATCCATTGCAAACTATAAGGGGTGTCTTAGTAAATTGTAAACTGTATGGTAGGTTAGTAAATTCATGAAAGTAGAGGTGGTCTTTTAGTAAATGACCCACCAACAAGAATATAACACATTTCTTCAAAACGAAAAAAAAAATAAAAACACAGGGATCTTACATGTGATGATGGAGTAGGTGTTTGGTATGGAACATACTTTTATTGGATTTCATATAGGCTTTTCAATGATATCTAAAAATTTGTAGGACGATCTGATATTCAATCCAATTATCTTGGATTTAGATGATGTATTTATGTAATTGAATTGGATTTGAATTTTGTAATTTGCATCCAATCCCATTAAAATCTAAATCTGGTTATATTATAATATTATTGATTTTAATATATATAAATTTTATACATTTATATTTAAAATTATAAAAATTATATATTACACGTAACAATGGAGTAGGTGTTTGGTATGGAACATATTTTTCTTGGATTTCATGTAGGCTTGTCAATGATATCTAAAAATTTGTAGCATGATCTAACATTTAATCTAATTATCCTGGATTATCTTGGATTTGGATAACGTGTTTATGTAATTGGATTAGATTTGAATTTTTCAATTTGCATCCAATCCAATTAAAACCTAGATCTAATTATATTATAATATTATTAATTTTAATATATAATTTATATATATATATGAAGTAAATTTAATATGTTATATTTTCATTAATTTATTATATATAAAAGTTGAAGTGGAGTTAGATTAAATATGAATCCGACCCAAGTCTGTTAGGATTCAAAATCAAATTTGAAGTCTTCAAATCCAATTTAATTTCAGATCAGCTTCGGATTGACAATTACCATGAAATTAGTTAACTCTGTACAAAATCCAAAAAATAATATTTTATTCTTGTTTATTTCTGTTTTAAGACACATAAGAGTTATGTAGGGAAAATGTTTTTCTCTACAGGAAACATGAAAACAGAGTTTTTTTATGGAAAATGGCTCTTAGAGAAATCGAGGAAAAAAGTTGATAATATTTTTCTAATAAACATTAATAAAATGTCAACCAAATAAGAAACGACTCTCCATTGGAAAAATGCCTATATAACTCTAAAACAATGTTTTAAAAACTGAATTTGGAATCAGAACCACTTTGTCCATCGGTTTTTGGGCCAGTGGTTCGACCTTTTGGTTCAAATGGATGATTCATTCCAAATTAAAAACAGTAAAAAATAATTAAAATAAAAAGTGGTCAAAGACTATTGTCCGGATTGAATGGATTGATGGTTTGATCGCCTGGTTCAACGGGTTATTGGCAAGTCAACAGGTTTTGGCCAAGGAATAACGGGTTAAGGGTAAAACAAAATTAGTTGCCTGACTTAGATAGTTTCCCGAGTTGAATGGTCCAACCGTCAGGGTTAATGATGGTTCAAAAACACTATTCTAAACTAACAGAATTTTTCAAAAATAAAAGTAAAAAAACACCACGCTAGCTATTTGTCAATTTACAAATGAGGTTTTTCGATTAGGGGCCGAATATAGGCGATTCAAGGAAAGGAAAGATAATGGAGTGACTGTATCATTCTCTCTCCCTCTCTCTCTCGATCGGCTTGAAAAAAGCTACCTAGTGAACGTAAATAAAGATTGGAATGTAAGCGGAAGTGCATCAAGAGTTTCAACGGAAGTTGGGTTTTGCCTGGCAAATGGCAATTGCCATCTTCAAATTAAAATTGAGAAAGCAAATTAACGTCTAATAATCCATGGTTATCACAAATTTATATAAATTAATGGGAGAGCACCCACAGGTTATTGACGACAATTATGACTTTGCTGCTTCCTTTATTCTGGTTGGAATGAAGCTGTTTAATTAATTAAATTAAGCATGGATTTGGTTGATCCATTGAAATTTAATAGTGACTGACGCAATCCATGACGGCTTCTCTCTGTCGTCTCTCTCTCGTTGCTGGTCATTACAATATTCTATAGTCGCAGGACTGCGGCGCCGAGGGTATTTATTATAATAAGAGCATGAGATGAAGATAGTCTTAGATGCCTCAGCATCTCTTGGATTTTAATCTCATAACAGATTAAATTTAATGGGTTTTATTGGTTAATTATATGAGAAATTACACCTATACATTTGTTTGGAAAATAAGTTTTTCTCTTATAAAATCCGGTTTTGAACTTATCTCATATTGGAAAATTATAAGATTTATTTTTAGTATTTTAATAGGAGTTGACTTACACTCCTTAGAAATAGTAGTGGAGAGTATAGGGGTTTGATACCATGTAATGCGTGCGCATACGTGTGTGCGCGTGTGTGCGGTGCAATGAGGCGCTTTAGAGGCACACTTTGCTCGTGCACACCCACGTGGCTTGCGAAGGACGACTTTGGTTTTGGTGCAATGCTGACCGTTGATCACCATTCGATCGGGTATGATCAAGAGGCACAATTCAAAATTAACAGTCATTAATTGTTAACTACTTTTTAAACAATCACAATGTTACATTTTCTTTGTACATCTTCATAAATGATATAAGGAACATGAATCGGATTTCAAAAAACATATTTTTTCGAAGTCCAATTTCTCTCTCTCAGTCCAGCCTACTACAGTCTCACAGAAGGTTTCTTCGGAGATTCTACAACTTTACTGGTTGCAGATTCTCGCCCAAGGCTTTATTGTATTTTAGGAATGGATTTGCCTGTAACCCAACAGTAAATTCAGTAAAACTGAGTGGAGGCAAATAACGTTCTAAAGACAATGTCTTCAGACGTGCCTCAAAGCTTTTCCTCCAAAGTTACAGTGACCCCATTTCCGAACAGCATCACCCACCCTCTCAAGTCTCATCTCATGAACACCCTTCTCAATTTTATTTTAGTTACAAAAATAGAAAATAGTATTATAGTATTAGTTGCCTGGTTAATTGAACCGCTGAGTGAAGACGACGATCGAATGATCGATAATAATATAAGATATAGCTTTAATTTGCTTTCCTAATCCCAATTCCCAAACTTTTACTACTTCAGCTGCAAGGACGAACGTAGACGGCCAGCTAAAATTATATTAGTTAGTTTATTTCTAAAATAAAATCATTAATTGCCAGCAATGTGTTATTAGTTGATGATGTCTTTGTGTATTTGACATGTGTTAAACTGTGAGTGGGGGATGAATCTAGCAGCCATGACTTGAGCATGCATGGAGATGTAGAGTTGTACACTACAAGTGACGTACATGGGCATCGCTCGCTGCCTCTAACAAACAAACAAATTAAATAAATATACATTATACATCACTCCATCTCCATTTCCTAAACAGGAAAACTATATATTGTTAATGA